ANCTAAATATTTTTAATTAATTTGAAGATAATAATGGATAAAAGTACAAATAACTATTGTCTATCACTTAAAACTTACACCTAGAATTAACAAGAACATAAAATTAACAAGCGTTTAATAACTCAGCTCTTTTACATCTATAAGTACAAGTTTTAAAATTTTTATTAACTATAACATTTTATTTATTACATTTTTCATATTTATTAGTAAGTCTTATAACTTAATTATATTTTTAATATTATTTATCATATTTATTATTTTTTCCTTTATAATGTTCTTTTATATGTTTTTAATATATATATATATATATATATAACTTTTAGATTTATTAAAAAAATTGCATAAAATTAGTTATATAAATTTTTGGGTCATATTTCTTATTAAATCTTTGTATTATATTATATATAATTACAATTTTTTCATTAATATTATACTCAAATATATTCAGAAAAAATTTATTCCGTACATTTTTTTGATAAAAATAGCTTTATTAGAATAATAAAAATTAATAAATAGAATGTGTAATGGTAATATCGATATAATTTATTGTTAAACATTAATTAATTTTCAACGTATGTTGGCATATCATGATTCTCTAGATATTTTTAATGAATTTATAGATAATTTTCAACATATCCCGGCCCATTTGACATATAATAAATAAATTGGGTTTTAGTATTATACAATTTCGTAAAATTGTTCTAATCTTATTTTAAACAAAGAAATTGAGTAGATCAAGCATTCAACAATTAATCTCTCATACGATTACACAATTTATTATTTTTTTATAAGTTATTTTGAATGAAAAAAAAAAAGATCTTTATAGTTTGTGTCGTTATGAGGACATGCAATATCGATTTTAATTTTTTTTACTTAGAGTTATCATTATAAAATTAAATAAATATTGTTGAAATAATATCTTATTTGATAGGATACTTACGGTTAAATAAATTCTCAAATTTTGTTGAGAAAATTATAAAAGCATTTAAGAATCTTAAAATAATATCACTATATAAAATATTTAATATATAAAAATCTTAATTATCATCTTTTATAGAGCACCCTTCTAGAAAATCAATTGCTCTAATGAAATAATAATAATTAAAGTTGCATGGTATATTTTTGTTAATAATTTGATGAAAACTTCATATATTTTAAGTGTTAATAATTAAAATATTAGGCAATTTGATATTAATCACTCAATGCTCAGGGGAAGATTCATTAACTTTATTGGCTTTGTGACAGAATTTTGAAAATACAAAATAACAGACAAATAAATGACGATTTTTGTGTTAAAAAAATCAATCCACTAAAACCTAAGGTGCAATTTCTAATTCTAAATACAAGATAGAAGCCAAAATAATGCAATTTCTAATAAATGACGATTTTTGCTCCGGATCCTTTTTCTCTCTACGTGCGTCTTTTTCCCTTTTTTTTGTTCGGTTTTTTTCTTTTTTTCTGTACGCCTTGCTCTCACGAATTTTACCTCTCGCCAAAATAATTAAGTATGTAGTCCCCAAGTCTTTTTGGACTCTCCAACTCCCAGCAAATAAATATGTGTCAACTAATATGTCAATCACCCACAAACTCCACCAGCCAATCAAATTCTGCCCATTAAATCTCTCTTATGCGTGTATATGGACGTCAGTGCATGGAAAAAAATTGTATGCTGCAAGTTTATTTGCCATGACACATGGGTGAATTGGGCCTTAATTTACAAGCATGTCATTGGGCTTCTTTTAATTAAGTCCGATAATGAGCCCAAATTTTCAAGTACTTGTGCACCTCGAATATTGCTAACGCGTACCCTCGTCAATGACTTCACGTCCACAAAATACTCCAATGCCCTGAAATTAAACATAAAATAATTTAAGCAAATAAATCCATCCAAATAATAAATAAGTCGAAAAATATAAACGTGCGATTAAATTAACCGTATAAAAATACACTATTAAATATATAAAACGCGCACATTTTTCGACCTATCAAAAATAGTTTCGTTGGAGGCTAAAGGATTGGTTTTTAGTCTCGAAAAGCGTTTCGTGCCGACATCATCACAATGCACGTCATTATTTGGGTTTGGAGATTTGGATTCGGCGTTGCGTAAAATTGTTCGTTCGAGGACATCAAAGCACGAAACGGGCTTGCGAGTTGACGAGCTTCAACTGCAGTTGAGAGATATCGATGCAATCATTCGAGTTGTTGAAGAAAGATTAGAGTGTTTGTTTAAGCGTTTGATTCAATCAAGAGTTTGTTTACTCAACATGAATAGCCATTTGTAGTAATTATTGGATGATGGTTTGTATAGATTTATTTATTTATTTATTTATTTATTTTTTAACTTTAGTCACATAAGCTAGAGATTTTTGGCCTTTTCTACTTTTATGTGAATTTTAATCTCACAAGATTCTTTTTGTAATCAGCTAATTAACATGTCATAATTTTAAAGGTTAATTGAGAGGACGAACACAATAATGGTGACTAAAAAGTTGTGTCATGCAGAGTTATGTGAAGATAAAAATTTACCAGTCGAAAAAAGTTCCACTAATTGCGTTTTGCGTGAAAGCGCTACACTTTTCAAAACAACTAGTGTGTACCCCGTGCGATGTACGGGAACAATATTAAATTAACAATATTGTAAATAGACCTCGAGTTTGAGTCACTCAATAGCGGAAGTGGAAACTACTATTGATCCTATTTAAAAATAAGAAGAAAAAAAAATACAAATTAAAGAGAGGATAAACAATACTTAATAATTATAAATTAAAGATTCGGGGTCAAACAATGTAAAATTATTTTGTATAAGAGAATATAAAAAAATTTGATTACACACCATTTCAAAATTATTATTATACTTTTTTGTATGGTTAGCTTATAATATTTGTAAAAATATTAGTAATTAGACCGATGAAAATTAGCTTCTTAAAGTAGATAATGGATTTCTAGTAGTAATTATGAATTGGTTTCTATTTTATTTTATTTTTTCTTTTTAAAGACTTTCATCTTCTTAAAGTAGATAATGAATTTCTAGTAGTAATTATGAATTGGTTTCTATTTTATTTTATTTTTTCTTTTTAAAGATAATGGATTTCTAGTAGTAATTATGAATTGATTTCTATTTTATTTTATTTTTTTAAATATGTATAGATAAGAAATGAAATTTTTAACACGTGAGGCGTATGCCATGAGATTTTGTAATAGAAGAGATAAGCTCGTGTAGATTTATGCTAAAAATAGCAAAAAGAAAAACAAATATTTACTGCCAAACAACGGTTTTGATAAACTAAAAAACAGGACAAAGAGAAACAAATCTTTACACAATTAATGAGTCGATTTTTTTGCCTATTCAAATTTGTCCAACGATTACTATATACAGGATATAGTTAATGATTTTGGCGGGAAAAAGTTTCTATATTTGTAAAAAAGTTATTCTTTTTATATAATGATAGATAACACGAAACGTAAATTTGGATCTCATCTCAATCATAATGTCTTAAAGTTTTTTTTNTTAATTATCTATCGACTTGAAGTGTTAATTAATTCAGTTTGATATGTAAAGGTTCCAACTTTTCAGGTGGGTTTCATTAAATGTAAGAGAAAACTGCAAATTTGGTCTCAAAACTTTTGTTGTTTTCCACATTTAGTCCCAGGCACGTTAATTATGGTCCTTTTTGAATTTTCGTTGCCAAAATGGTCCCACGTCCGTCAATATTAACAGGGCTCGTGTGAAGACGTTAGATTGGACCAATTTTGCAATTTTGGGACCAATTTTGTAATTTTTCAAAAAAAAAAATGAGTTCTTCAAGTCTCTCTCATTCACTCAATGCCGAAATGACATAATAAAATTAATTTACTATGAATATTATGCGAGAAATAAATATTAAAAATAATTTTATAAAAATAAATATCAGGTGGAAAAGTAAAGGCGTTGATAAATTTTAGTTTTGGGTGGAAAAATAAACGATATAATTGCTAATTGTATGGTATTTATGTTATTTTCTAATATTTTTACCGTCATTACTTAAAAAATATTAGCAATTATTTGAATATTATTTAAATTAAGAAATAATATTATTTTTAATTATATAAAGCAAACCAAAATGACATAATTCAATTTATCAAAATAAGAAAAAATGTGACTATGCTTACAATAATACTAATCCGTTTGCATTTTTAAATATTAGTATAATGTGATAATTTATATATATCCTTAATACTAATCCGTTTACATTTTTAAATATTAGTATAATGTGATAATTTATATATATCCTTACAAACATTATTAAATAATACGAATTAAAAAAAAACCCAATCTAAATATTTTTTTTTATTACTGTCTATTTTAATTTTAATAATTTTTTTATTTATCAATTTGATTTTGACAACCATAAATTGAAAAAATCTATTTATTTATTCAAATTACATCTACATAAAAAATTATAATTTTTAAGCGTAATAAAACAAATTTTGGCACTAAATTAAGTGAAAATAGACATTTGTTCTCACTTATTTATAGTAAAATATATCATATATTTTTTTTGCATCTCATTTATCATGAACTAATTAATAAAATTATTTTATACACCTTTTGTTAAGTTACCCAATTAAATAATCATTTTATGTAAAAAAATCAAGTTAACCTTTAATTTAAGTTAAAAAGAAATGTGAAAGAATTGTATGTTAGTTATATTTATCTTTTATAATTTATTAAAAAATAAACTAAATGTATTGTTAGGAAATAATGGTAATATACCTTTTTAACATTTACTAAATTTTTTTTTTAAAAAATGTTTCTAATAAACATAAATTTAAATAATTTTTATCACTCACTCTTTGAGAAAATTGTAAATTTGGTCCCAAAACTTTTGTGGTTTCTCACATTTGGTCCCAGGCTATAAACGTTGACCGTCAAGTCTTGACGGAGTGGGACCATTTTGGCAACGAAAATTCAAAAAGGACCATAATTGGCGTGCCTGGGACCAAATGTGGGGAACAGCAAAAGTTTTGAGACCAAATTTGCAATTTTCTCTTAAATGTAAGGAATCTCACACCTTTTTCATCCGAATGGGAAATAATTATAAATGGCTCAATAAAAACAATTATGTTTGATTCAGCTAACATGTAGAAAATTAATTCAGATCCTAAAACACGCAAGCCTATACCAGTCGAAATTGCATAGACATAATTTGGGTATCAAAATTCTCGTGTGAGAATGTCTAACGGTTAGACTTGTCGAGTACCAGTTATACTTTCTAATAAACTGCATACTTATATTAAGATGAAATCTCATATTATTGTTTAATTCAAGTAATAAAAATCAATATGTGTAACAGTTAGGTCTATCTAACAGCTAACAACTGACTTAATGAATTTGGATTAATCAGCCAAGAGTTAAGATAACATGCAAACAATTAATTGGTTTAGACAGTTTATCACAAAAGAGAAAGAGCAAGTTGCAATGCAATAATAAACTCTGTTTCAATTTCATGTTCAAATTTTAAAATTTCACTTAATAAATTACTTGTAGAAACCAGGATTAGTACAACTGTGTGGGATTTTCCTAGCTCACTAATATTGAGCAGTCAATAGTCAATACTCCAACTCATCAGGTGAAAAATCAAAAGTACAACCTTTTCAGCCAGGGTGAATGCAATAAATACCAATAATTAAATACGATTTTGCCTTTTCTGTTTTGATCCATGCACCTAAAAGTTTTGTAGTCTTTGTAAGGAAAACGTAGAAATAATTTTTGCAGCTATTTTTTGGGGGATAATATAATTAATTAATACTCCAAAAAAAGTTGAGCACATGCCTGTAATAATGGTGGTGCCTTTTTTCGAAACACCATCTTAGCATGTGCAGTTATGCTAAGAAAGTACGCAACTTGGATTAATTATAATAAATTAATTAAACATGTGGAAAATGATATAGATCCCGTGACCACCTTTAGACGTGGTAGGATCATAATTACAGTGTCATTAATACTCAAAAGTTGAGCTAACACGCAATGATTATTAATTAGGTGAATCTCATCTCATTCAAACAAAGTAGCGTACAATCCTAACAACATCTCACAAACTTTTCAGCCAGGAGTTAAAAACAAATAATTACTAATGAAGACAAAATCCGCCTTTACCATATATCTGATGAAAGTAGAGAGAACCTGCCGTGAAAACGTGCAGAATTCAAATTTTTTTTATAATGTACTTAGATCTGACGACAATGAATTTATAACGTGTCGTGACAATGTTCCGATCGCTAAGTAAACAGAATATTTAATTTTATTTTTAATTATAGGATAGGATAATGTACTTGGATCTAACAATGAATTTATTACAACCTAAAAGACATTAATGTTAGCTCTGCCTCTCCATTCAGCTTCGTCATATATAAAAGCCCAACACTCCCAAAAGTACACTTCACATCATCACGAAAAGAAAAAAGTAGCTAAAATCCTAGCACGATGAAGTCGATAATTCTAAGCCATATGCGTTCTTCTAGCATGCCTTCAAGACCTTATTACCCTCTAATCCCCGAATTCAAACTCCATTTGCAAAAGATAAAATCCGATAATTTTCCCACCTCTTCTTCTTCATCTCTATCCTCAATCGCCGAAAAAATGAAAGATCTCGAGCAAATCCACGATTTGATCGACAACTTACTTATTCTCCCACATACCCACCAAATTTTCACCCGAGAAAGCCACGAAAAATGGGTCGAACAAATCTTGGACGGATATCTGGGCCTAGTGGACGCTTGTGCCACCGCTAAAGATTTCATCTCCCAATCCAAAGATTACATTTCGAACCTCCTTTCAGTCCTAAGGCGAAAGCGTGGCTCTGAAAATCTTTCCGAGTTCATCTCCTCAAGAAAGACGATCAAGAAACAAATACAAAAATCGTTGAGAAAACTCGGGAGCTATAAAAATAGCCCCTCTGTTTTAGAAACAGGGGACAAAGATCAAGAAACAATTGCAATCATCGGCATGTTGAAGGAGGCCGAATCGATTACTCTAGAGTTGATCGAGACACTTTTGTCGAGCATTTCTCGTTCGAAAGACGGTTCGAGGCTAAGTAATTGGTCCCTAGTTTCGAAGCTTGTGGGGTCGAGAAAAGTTTCGTGCCACGAGCATAAGAGTTCGATGCTCGGGTTTGAAGATTTGGATGCTTCGTTGAGTAAAATTTTTAGTAAATGCGAGACGGGCTCGAAAATCGAGGAGTTGAAGCAACAGTTGAGGGAGATGGATTTGGTTATTGCAGTGATTGAGGAAAGATTTGAGAGTTTGTTCAAACGTTTGATTAAGTCGAGAGTTTCACTGCTTAACATGCAGAGCCAGTTGTAGTTAGTCGATGGCTTATCGTCAATAGAAGATAGTTTTTGCCACAGTAGAACTTTTTTCTTTTCTTTTTTTTCTTTACTCTCGGCAGATAGTTTTTGCAGTTTGGGTCTCACAAGAATTTTTTTTTTTTTTTTTCACTTTTGGTCCCATCAGAAGTTGTATTTTCACACTTTTGGGGGGCTGAAATGGGATTTAGTTCTTGTGGGAAGTTTTTTCCTGCTCAAATATCTGGTTTTGAGATTTAAAGTTTGTAAAGTACGACAATTTGAAGCAGACAAAATGTATCATATTATTTTCCCATTTTTTTGTGATTCAATATTTCTTGCAAATATAATTTTTGCGTTTCGTATGGATTTCATTTAATTTTAGATGGTGAAACAAGTATTAATATGTTAAAGAATATATTAAATCTATACTTATATTAAAAGGTATACCATTTACCAGATTTAGTATAAAGAAAAGTCAACAACATTTATTGCATTACTATTTTTGATAGGTCGAAAAATGTGCGCGTTTTATATATTTAATAGTGTATTTTTATACAGTTAATTTAATCGCACGTTTATATTTTTCGACTTATTTATTATTTGGATGGATTTATTTGCTTTAATTATTTTATGTTTAATTTCAGGGCATTGGAGTATTTTGTGGACGTGAAGTCATTGACGAGGGTACGCGTTAGCAATATTCGAGGTGCACAAGTACTTGAAAATTTAGGCTCAATATCGAACTTAATTAAAAGAAGCCCAATGACATGCTTGTAAATTAAGGCCCAATTCACCCATGTGTCATGGCAAATAACCTTGCAGCATACAATTTTTTTCCATGCACTGACGTCCATATACACGCATAAGAGAGATTTAATGGACAGAATTTGATTGGCTGGTGGAGTTTGTGGGTGATTGACATATTAGTTGACACATTTATTTGCTGGGAGTTGGAGAGTCCAAAAAGACTTGGGGACTACATACTCAATTATTTTGGCGAGAGGTAAATTCGTGAGAGCGAGGCGTACAGAAAAAAAAAAGAAAAAAACCGAACAAAAAAAAGGGAAAAAGACGCACGTAGAGAGAAAAAGGATCCGGAGCAGACACACGCGAAGGGAAGCCGCAACCGCACACGATGGAGATAGCTATTCTCTCTTTTATCTTTTATTTATTTTTATTAGTATGTTAGTTTAGTATTTTTGTCCAGTTTTAAGGGATGTTTGAACCCTAAGTTTGATTTGTCTATGAATCGAATGATTTTTGTTTATCGTTGATTAATCTAAACGCCGTATTTATTTTGTTGATGAGTTGATTCATGCTATCTGTGTTTAATGTTTATGAATTATGAGTATTTGATTTAGTTTGGCCAGCTACGTTGAATGTTCATAGTTTAATTGCTAGATTCGGGACTTTAATCCGTAATTGTTATTGTCTCTTTCATAAGTATGGAGCTGCAAGGTTCATGCCTCCTTTGAGACCACCTATGAAGCCGCCATGGACCGCTTGAAGAAAGCGGAGCAATAAGTCGAGCCAACGACAATAAAAAAAGGCGCTTGTTGGGAGGCAACCCAATGGTATGCGACGTGACTTCTTCTCTTGATAAGGTGAACTCTTTCCTTTTACTTTGTATTTTGTTCTCTTATGTGCAAACTCTAAGTTTGGGGAGATTCATTAGAGTGAGATATATTTGTGTGAGTTGTTGAATTGTGCTCTATTTTATATATTATCTTGATTTGCTAGATTATATGTTACTTATATGTGGAATTTTGCGATGATGAATTGAATGTCTGTTGGAATATTATGCTAGTTATGATGACTCGGGTTAATGATTTCTGGTTAAATTCTTGAAGCGTTGTCATTTAAGGGACAAAGACATGACGATTGATATTTATGTGTTTTATTTGTGGTGAGTTGGTCTCGAACTGTTTATATTTTTGAAATGTGCTGGTGACTATTCTGCTTGATGTCGATTGTGTGAGGTAACTTGACGTGGAAAGTTGGGAGTTGATTGTCTCAGAAAAAAATCGAGACGTTTGATTTCTGGCTAGAAGCGAAGAGGAACCAAACCGGTTGACAAAGAAAGGGGTATCATTAGTTGCATGATTGGTATACTCGGTGAAGAGATTGATAAGCTGCGGTAATTAACTGAATTGATATTTAATTGTTGGCGTTCTAAAGATGATTTCATTTCGAGTCCGGGGATTATTAATTTGAGAAGTTGTAGCTATGCACTTGATTGGTCGGAAAAAGTGTGTATTTTATATATTTATTAGCGTATTTTTATATGGTTAATTTTATCGCACTTATATATTTTTCGACTTATTTATTTATTAGATGGATTCAAGTGCTATGATATTTTTATGTTTATTTTCAGCATACTAGAGTATTTTCACATATGGTGTGACTTTGAACGAGAATTCAAGTAGGCTGATGTTACATCCCAAAAATGAACATCAATTGAGAAAGCCCAAAAGCTAATGATGGTTCAAGGCTGTTAATGAGATTATTGGCCCAATAATATGGAAATCCAAATTAATGTCACATGATGCAGCCATCTTATTATTAATTCATGAGGCAACAATTAATTGGGCAGCATCTACCTTATGGGCTGAGGAATTCCACACGACATGACTTGAGGAGAAAACAAAAAGAATCCTACAGCTACTATTTATGTAATTGGAAAGAAGGACACGTAGGAGGCATTCAGGAGAGCCATTGTATATAAACCACACATTCACGCAGATTAGAGAATTCACGCCGCATACTCTAGGAAAAAGAACGGAAAGATACAGCCGCCAAATTCACGCACAGCAGAAAAGCAAAACAGAGACGCACTTGGAGACGAGGAAGCCCGACAAAAGCGGAGGGAGGCCTCATCCATACACGAGGGAGATAATTAATCTCTCTCATTTATTTATTATTTATTTTTATTTAGTATGTTATAGTAGATTTTTATTTCTAGTTCTGGGGAAGTCGAACCCTACGATTGACTATGTTTTGATTGATTTATATGGTTGATGATTTTAATATATTTTTGGAATTGTTTGTGTTATTTTGAATAATTCACCATGATGTGTTAGTCTTGTTTAGATTGATCATCTAGATTAGGTTTTTCATATCTACATCTGAATTAGACCTGCAATCCGTAATTGTTGTTGTGTTTAATTCATAAGAGGTAACCGGAAGATGGTAACTACCTGGGATAACACGGCCTAATTAAGTGAACGAACGCGGTTGAGTTCACTACTTAGTCTAGCCTATTTTTCTAATTCGTAAAGCGGCCGATTATATTAAATCTTGAAAACGTTTTTCCGGACTGTACAAGAAGTCAGGTTTAATCGTAGAGCGTCTCGCGGTTAAATTAAAAATAAGGAAAAATTCGGGTAACAGACCGTGTCGTTGCCTAGGGCTAGTAATTCCATAAAATAGCGAGATTTGATTCCAAAGTTGATTAGACGAGTCAGTCGAGGGTGTAGACAGAACCGTGAACTAGAAAGTTCTCTTCATTTATTTATTTTTATTTTTATTTTTATTGTTTAGATATTATTTGCTTTATTAGAATTTCAGTTCATTTAGTTATTAAATTCAATCCCCCATTTTTATTGCTTTTATAATTTCAATTAATACGATAAAATTCACAATTTGATTCACACTCCTCGTGGGATCGACCCTTACTTGCCGCTACTACTAGTTAGTAGAGGTTAGCTGAGGAAAATATAAATTTTAATTTTGCCGCGTTGCGACGCGCGGTCAAATTTTGGCACCGTTGTCGGGGATGGTGTTATTGAATTGTGATTTTTTTAGTACTAATTGAGTTTTTTTTTTTTAGGATTTTATTATATCATCTTTTACTCCCCTTTTTCTTGTTTATTATTATTATTTTTATTTGTTGGCAGAATACTGGGCGCCCCCATACTGCACTGCACAGAATAGTTCGACCCCATACTCGCGGGATTGACTAATCTTTGGGCGATTTTAGCGAGCTTGACGCAAAGAGATGGCAGGCTATTATCACGACTTGAGTTTTGGCGTTTTTTATCGAGCTTGGCGCAACTTTTTTAAAATGGCAGCCTATTATCACGACTTTTATACCCACCGTGCACCTTACCAGTATGAGAGGGAGATACGAGGCCTGTGGATTGGAGATCAAGGCATAAGAGGACCTAGTGGTTGGCGAAGGGACGAACAAGACTATTTCTATGCCGATGAATATGATTACCGCTTGAGAGAGCACTCGGACTCCTTCCATGGGTACTCCGAGCCACCAATTGCGCGAGATCCCAGCCCATCACTAGAGGATACGGTGAAGGCAGTAGAGGCTCACACGTTGAGATTTCTGCAAGAACACTCCAAGCCATTTGTTGAGAATGACCATGATCCGTCTCTCGAGGATATGATGAAGGAATTGACGTTGAACACCTTTAACTTTCAGCAAGGTGTTGAGACGAGCCTCAAGAGCCAAGAACTAAGCATACAGAATTTACAAGGCCAAATGAGCCAATCGGTGGACCAGATGGACTGACTAGTGTATCGGTTGGAAACGAGTCCAATGAGTTCGAGCGTCATCCATTCATACAGCGAGGACCTCGAGGAACTTGATGAGTGCACACACGGGCCGGAGAACGAGAAAATCACGAATATCGAGAAGAATGAGAGCGAAAAAGAGAACCAAGCTGCAGAATATGGGGCTGAGCAGCAGAATACGGAGGTGCCCCATACTCGACCTGCTGTAGCCAAAAAGTGTTCCTTTCTTCCCACTCTTGTGCCGATAGAAGCTGAACCGTGTCCTATGTATTCTAATATGAAGTGGGTACTGAGCAAGGATGCACTGAAGCATGTCTTGGGCCTTGATATACCTTCTCTTGAGACGCTCGAGCAAAACGAAAGGTGTGAATGGGATTTTGTTGAGGCGGTGACATTGATTGAGCGTGAGTTGCTATACATTCATGAGAAATTAGCGTCATGGAGGAAAAATCCAGTGAAGCACCCGACATCGGAGAGTGAGAATTTCGAAGA